GACGGGTCACCACTGAAGGCAATGCAAAATGCTGAAACCAACAGCGACAAATTCTCTACCGATCGTGCTGCCGCTAGCTTTCCTAGGTATCCTATCCTATAGTCTGCATTCTCCACAGCGTGCTCAGAGCCCGGCTTTTCACCGTCTGCAAAGGCCCAATCATGTCAAAACCCCGAACTCCCCGTGAGTGCGTTTAGTCCTTTATCCTCATGTCGGAGTCCGGCTAAGAAGCGCAGAAGGCTGCGACGATGACATACTTCCTGGGCACGACGTCTCAAATCTCCATGCCACGACCGCAACACAACATATTGGCTATTTGGAGCAAATACTTCGAACGACCCGTGCAGAAGCACCTCAAGATACACAAGCGCCCTCTCAGCACGGCACTACAGCGCAGATGGAGCAAGACGAATGCAACAGTTGGTGCTTTTCTGATGAAGACAAGAAGCTCGTGGGCTGTCATAAACCTTGGTTGATGCCGTATACATCTTGAAACGCACCTCTGGTTTCATTGGTATGTCGTGCCTTGCGGTGCGACACTTCAAGGATACGCGGTGGACACTTACGACGACATGCAGCAGCGGCATAGGCAGGCTTCTATTCTTCAAAAAGGAGCTCCTGCTCCTACAGTTTCACCGTAGCTGTGTTCCACGGGTGCATTGTGCGACATCATCTTGCCAGCCAAGAACACTATCACGGCAGCAACGCAAACATTCGCTGTGAGCATGACCGCCTGAAGCACAAGTGCACACGAAAATGTTATTGCACAGACTTGGCCACAACTACTACCATCTGCCACCGCGTGTCGACGTGGTCCCGGGCATTTGGATTGAAGATCGCTGCTTGCGCATAAAGTGCCTCTAGTGGACAACGGTATGCCAGACGCACTCCAGACGAAGTGACTCACGCAGATGTAATTGTGGCGGCTGGACATCTACAAGTCTTGCAGGGCAGGGAATCTAGCAGCACGCGTGTAGCAATGCAGACAAAGAGCAATCTGGGAGAAATGGCTGATCAACACCCCGCAATCAAACCTTCAGGTGCAGATAAACAATGTCCGCACACGTACAAAGGTGCAATGCGCCTCTGGATGTAGCGCGGGGTATCAACCCAAGCTGCAGTGCATGGTGGGTGGACGTCACTTTTTACCTTCGCGACTCGTGCAGTCTTAAAAACAAACAGCCGAGCGCTGGCAACAAGCTTGTTTTTTGCAGACTCACATTCTCAGCAGAACGAAGAGCCATGATGAGAGCTCATGTGCCCATCGCCGTGCATCTCTCAATCTTTACTATCCGACTATCCTATCTGCTGGCCATGCACAACAACTCGGAGTTCAGTTGCTTCTGTGATCTTCTGTGGCTCGCAGGCCAGAACGCCTGAGTTACACCTCCGCTCAACGCTCAAGGCGAAAGCTGCAGCGAAAGACCACTGCGCGTCAGCTTGGTCATGTAAACACCTGCTCTCCTCTGCACACCTGGAAAGAGGTCGGGTCGTAATGCTTGGCTTGCCATCCAATCGGGTTGCTTAAACCTTGCAGCCCTACACACTGCGCCCCACCGGAGATGGGCTTACCAACGAGCCGGAACCTACCATTGCGGCAGGTCTTGTGCGTCATGGGCTCGAGCGGTCACCCTGCCCCGAACGTTGGAGACCCGCGGCGCCGGCTTCAGAGGCGACAAGGGCGATCACAAAACAGGTGGATGGACGTCAGAGCCCTAAGGACAACTTAAAAAGAGGAGGCGATGGGCCGGGGCAGCGACCGGTTGCAAGCTGCTAATCCTGTCCGTTCCAGCTTGTGGGGCGAAGGGCCACTACCGCCAAGCAGGACCGTTGCCGAAGGACATCGAAGTGAAGACGGCCGAGGCCGAGCACCTTCTCTGTCTTCTCGCGGTCTACTTCTCCCGCCTCGAGTGCACGCTGAAGATTTTCAACGGCCCTCCGGCCAATAGCACGGTCTTTCTGCAACGCCTTTGACAAGCAGTCGAACATGCCACAGGGCCACCCGTTGGACGACTCTCGCAGTCTTTGCCTGTGACCTCTCTGCCGAGTCTCTCAACTTTTTGGAGCTTTTTGTTTGTTTTGGCGAGGTCCTCTAGAACAAAAGAGACGCTGTCCAGGTTGCCCCGCTTCACAGAGGAATGTGCTGGCCAACAACTACAATGATACTAATGGTGATGGTATAGTAGTTGTGACAAAGATAATCAGGCAGAAACTGGTAATGAAGATGTTGTCAAGCACCCTTGGACTCTGACCGACATTTCCACAACTGAGGGACGGGCGGCAGCTGCCATCCACACGGAGCCCAACGTCGTGCCGAAGCAGCAGAGCAATGTAAACAAGTCATCCATGTTCCAGAGATTCACAACCTCGGCTCGTCAAACAATGGTTTTCATGACTGCTTATCCGCTGTGCTTGCCGGTGCTAAGATGGCGACGAAGGACACGGAATGCAGCGATTGTATCATGATGATCCACAGGACAATCATAGACACATGGTTGGTAACCTTGGCACGAAAGTGGTGTGAATGGGCGGCATGCCTGCTGCCGACTGTCGCAACAGAGCTGCTGTGTTACCACCAATTTCGAAGATGTGGCTCAAGTTGGACAACATGGCCACCATGATTAGATCGTTGAACCTTGCGTGTGCAAGATCAGCTGACTTGTAGCGTAGAATTCTTGCCTGCCTATAATTGCCCAGTCAACGCTGCACTTGCCTGCAACCGAGAGACAATTCTATCCAATGCCTTGAGATCCACGTTTGCTTGCACTGCATGCACGCACTTCGCCATTCTACCCTTCATGCAGACTGCGCATGCTACAAAGCACATTCACCAAACAAAACCAGCGGCCCTGTTCTGCCGAGGCGCTCATGAATGTGCTCCTCGCGTAACATGCTGAGATCACTACACCCCCAAACTACCCAAACCCTTTTCAGCTAAACGGCTAAACCCTGTGTGCGTCAGCCCTCCTTTACTTTCTGGGCCTCGTCGTGCTCGGAGTCCAACTTACGGAGCCGAGGTCTTTGCCAGAAATGGCGCAAGGGGTGGGCGACCTCAGCTTCCATCTGTGCCATATGGCGGAGCTCCAGAATCGAGAATATACATATAGAACATGAATACAGAACATAAACAGAGAGGAAGAGTGGAACGGTCAAGTATCAGTACAAAAAGAGCAGTGCAAGTATGTGTGGAGGTATATCGGTTCTTCTACACACAAGTACAAGTATCAAGGTAGCTACACACATATGTTCGTATATTGCACATACAAAAGGAAAACTTCTCTGCAACTCATCATCGAGTCTCTTTAGTACTGAATCGCACCGCGCTCTTCTGTTTGCAAACGGCGTCTTCTTTGGCCGTTTCAAACACCTGGCATGTGAATGCGATTGCAGCTTGCCCGAAGTGTGGATCTATTCACTCAGAGCTCTCCGTTCTCCTGCGGGGGCAAAACTCCTAGCAAACTTCCGCCTAGAAACCATCCCGCCTTGACAGCTGACTGCACACGCTTCTCGTGGATGCTGGACAAGCGTGACACCATAAAGGAGAGAGGGTGGTCTGCATCAGCTCCTCGTTGGCCTGTTCACTCGCGAACACCATATTGAGGCTTCGTGGCTTCTGGTGTAAAGCACGAAGCATTTCCTTGAGGACACCTGCTAAGCATGACAACGAGTCGCACCCAGCTGCACTACCAGAGGTAAATGGCAGTACTGCAGCAAGAAGCGAAAAGAAGCAACATAGACATGACGATCGTCTGCATTGTTATGAACATCCCCGTCGCTCTCATCACGAGGAGTCTCAGCGTCGTTGAGATGGTGGAGTGGTGCTGATGAAGACAAGGGTCAGGATGACGATCTCAACAGTGATTTTGACGTTGGCGCGGTTGCTTCTATCACCAGATGCCATATATAAGCAATGTACATGCATACAACCACACTACTTACGCTGTTTGCAATATACACCTATCTATCTGAGCGTACGCACACATATCTGGCAAACACAATACAAGATTATCTTAAAGCAGCAAACTTAAAAGCTCACACATCCTACCTGCGGCTTCCACGGCCTATTTTGTTACGTTGTGCAATATGGGTGCTCGTTTCTTATCCGGTATTGCATCATGTTATAATGTACTGTATCTCTTTAGATGCGTATGCGTCTGCCTGCAACGCTCGATTCCACATTGAACGCGCTGCTAGATGAGGCAGTCTCGCCAGAAGCTGCTTCAGCATCCATGCCGGGTGCAGCAGCTATCGTCGCTGAACGTTTGTACCAACAGCTGAATGTTTAAGTTTCGGTCTGTTGGGTCACGTTTGCGAAACATCACCTACAATCCTGATGGCAAGGACTTTCAGGGAGTTACCATGCCGCTGCTGGACGTGGCAAGAGGACATGTGGTTGCAGGTGCTGCTCTTGTCATTATTGCCGCTGCTGTTGCGAGTCCGCTTTATCTATGGTTGCTACTGGCTGTTGTCAGTTGTTGTTGTTGTTGCTGTTGTTGCTGCTGCTATCTGCTGCTGCCGGTGTTGTTGTGGTTGTTGTTGTCGTCCTTGCTGTTGCTGCTGCAGTGGCGGCGCTTTGACGGGCCAACAGGCTGCAGAAGCACGAGCACGACAACGTTCGAAGCCATCTTGCAGTCATTGCAGCCAAAACAGTCAGCGCTTCAAGCTCTATGAGCGGCAGAAAGAGTGGGAATCTTAGCAGAAAGCACCTGGTGCCAGGCGGAGAAGTTTTGGAAGGGGGCACACACCTTGGGCGCGGCTGTTGCTTTCGGCTTCTCATGATGACTCCACAGGACATCGAAGGGGATGAAGTGCTGCATGGGTTAGCCTTCGTGATTTGGCCATGAATGGTCAAGTCCTCAAATCCGGTTGGGTCGGTTGCCTGTTCATGCAGTGTTTGCAGGGTGCGGTGCAGCTAGCAAACTGTCAGAGATTTTTTGAACCGCTTGCAGCCTGCAGCTTTGGCAAAGGCTGTGTCGCCCGATTCACAACAAGTCACTTCGTCATGGAGCTGCCTGCGGTACCCTGTCGTACAGAGCCTGGCGTATGTACCTGCTTGCTTAAGACACGTGATCTGCCGATGCTTGGACCGCTTCGGCAGTGGGAGCTCATGCTGACAAGATGCACGGACAGCAGTCCTTCGAAGATGAGCAAGAAGCTCCCTGAAAGCAAGGAAAGGATGCCTGAACAGAGGGACGTTTCAGATTTTCCATCTGTTCCTCCTGACCATGACAGGAGATCAGCCACTGCAAGCCTAGGAAGTAGGACAAGATGACTGTCCAGAGCTCCACATCGGCCGCCAGTCCGAAGTTTGCCATCAAGGGAAAGACATAGAAGCCAGCCTCAATGCTTCTTCCAGTGATTCCGAGGACACTTGTTCCAGCCACTGTGTGGTAATTCTTGCTTGCCAGCATCCGGCTCTTCGACCCCCGAGAACTACAAACCCAGCAACGTTTTAGCAGAGTGGCACCGATGAAAAACACGGCTCTGCCCACTTGGAACTTCCTGAGCCAACGTCAAGGCATCAAGAGCATGACAGCACAATTAGTAAACATCGTTCCGTTCATGCCTGCATGGATCGAAGAAAGTGACTTGAGCGACTCGTGGGTAGACCGCAAGTAGCATCCATTTGTTGTTGTTTTTGACATCGTGCCGCGTTCAGCTGACGCCCTGTAGTCTGTCGAGTAGGGGTAGGATGACACAATATGACATGATCACCAGGCACCGAAACGGCGAGAGTCAAGACGCCGAGCCAAAGCTCAACATTTAGCCATGTCGGCCAACTTTCGAATCCATTTCGCAGGATGCCGCACCTGCAGGGAAGACCGGAGCTCTATTCAGTCTACTCAGCTTTCGGCGCTTCAATGGGAACCAGGTGAAGCAGAGGCGCTGCACCGTGGCCACAAGGGCAGGAATGCTGAAAGCCACGAGGTACAGGCCCTCGTCGTGTCGGGCTATGGGGTGGATGCGAGCTGTACAGGTCTACTGACAGCTCTTCAGTGGGAGCGAGTTGCACTCGGGCCTGCGTGACCCAAAACATGCGGTCGAAGGCTCCATGGTGCATCCGTGAGGGCTTCAAAGGCTTGCAGGCCAGCATGATTCCCAGCGTCAGGAAGCCTGGCGTGGCAAAAATACGCAATGACTCGTTTGAGCTGTAGTGCTCGATGACGTAAGACGGCGGCCAGAGCATAACAGCACGGCTGGGGATATGATCCGGTAAAGCTAATTCAGCCGCCTGCGATAGTAAGCGCACAAGCGACGTTGACCAGCAAAATGGCCTCAGGTCTGCTTGCATGTTGCTGCGCAGAAAACCTTGTGCACACACACACACACACACACACCGGTGCAAGTACACTGCAACTCGGGAGGGCCAGCGAGCTCTGCCTCATGGAATCATGGAACGTAAAGTAGATACCGCGCACCTTGTCAACGTACGGCGCGGCCTTTCTCCATGCCGCTGAAGCCTGAGGTCTCTACGAACGAAGAAGCTCGGGATGGATTGCCTTTCTCCATTCGCATGGCCTCGTGCAGCCCACGTTGACACGCCTCCGCGCCATGTTGCCAATTCGCACGTGCCACCTGACATGTCTGACGACAATGCAGAAAACGAGATCGAAGCCCAACAAAGTGGTTAGGCAGAGTTTGCAGTGCATGAGATGACTCGAGCAGAGAACATACGTAATAGCTTCAGTTTGCTGTGTCAAGCCCCAAAACACTTTGCAGCGCCTCTGTGCCCTGCTGGATCATCTCGGCGCTCGTCTGCGCTGCTTGGACACCTGCTTTTCGAAGCGCCTGCCGGTGCTCGTGGCGGATCGAATCGACGCGTCAAGCTGCCCTCATTAGATCGAGATCGAGTTCTTTTGTATCGCTGAAGTTGCTGTTGACCTCAAAGCATCTCGTAGATCAAAGACTTTTGATTGAAATCGGGCTCGGCCTGCCTCAACTACCGTCCGCATCACGAGTACTTTTTGGGGACCCAGCTGATGTGCCAGGAACCCAACAGGCCACTTGTCCCTCCCTAAAGGCCGGCCCCTTTTTTGAAACAATGAGTTCCACCATGTTCCACCCTGTCAGGCAGGCCGGCACGCCTCTGCTGTCTCCACGCTGGATTGCAGAGCTGCATTTCCTTGGCGGCGCGCCTCGCTTGCAGCTTCTGCGCCTCACGCCAAGCGCTCGCTTCTGGTCGTTGTTCTGGCGTGCATCACGCTCCAACATGCCCGGAAGATGGCAAGCGCGTCCATCACAGGTGGCTCGCTAATATGAGAGGGCAGCGACAGAACGTGCCTCTCTCCAGAGCCACAGCGCCGTGAGCGCGTGTGGCCTCCACGGCTTCAGCCACCGGCCGTACGAGAGACGCGCCATACCGGCGCATGTCCTCCACGGCCTCTGCCACCTGCCCGCGAGAAATCCTTATGATTGAGAAGATACAGCTCTCGTGGCTCCGGGGCTGTGGACGCAGATTTTGCTTATATGCAAATGCAAGCAGCCACAAGCACGCCGGTGCAGTGCCTCTTCTCGAGTGATCACCACCGGTACATCTTCTGGTGCTGAGCTAGAGTGTGGCGCTTGTGCCTGCAAAAGCAAAGAAATGCTCTGAAATTACGGGCAGGCTCTGTAAATACCGATGGTACCTGCAGCAGTGGCTCTTGGGGCGACGAATCGCTGGTGCCTGCCGCAGGCCGCTACATGCAGAGACCGCTGAAAGAGAAACGACTCCGATAGAGTCTCGAGCTGTGCCTGTCGAAAGCATGGGCCGGCTGGGCCCATGGTCTTCTGCCTGGGGCGCTGACACTGCGACCTGCAGAAGTGCAAAGCGGAAGCCCAGGGTGAGCAGATACCAAAACGACACCCAGCGTTTTAGCACCTTGTCGACGCTTGGACCAGGGTTTGTTGCTTGCGGTGGCAGTCTTGTAGCTGCACCTGGCGCTGACACTGGGGTATGGATGGTATGGGAGCTTGCATGCTCTGCCGTGTCCGGCTCTAGACTCATCATCCACTTCTGCAAAGCCATTTGTGAGTGCATACAGACGGCAGCGATTGAGCACCTTTGTATGCTTCAAGACAGCCGTGCGCCACTCTACAGACTTGAAACTATGGGACCTGGGCTGGACCAGGACGTGCACAAAACTCGTAAATCCCACTGGGTCAGCTGCCGTTCTCGTCGCTGACAGCCTCAACTCCTCCGGATGTCTCTCTGCATGTCTGCGGGTCTAGGGGAAGAGAACCGTGCAGGTTCACGGGTCCACTTTCTCTGAGCCTCTGTCTGCCTCTGTGTGTGTGTGTGTGTTTGCGCGCGCGTCTCTGCCTCTGCCTGTCTCATAGTGTCTCGGAGGAGGGGCTGCGCGTCTGTGCGAGACAAGAGTGTAAGGCAACTTGGAACATGGGGAAAGGGGGTTACTCCGAAAGACGCATCGCGCATATGCTTGGAACAGAACACTGAAGAGAATCTGGATCCGTATTCTTGGTCAGCCGAGCACAGCAGTCTTCTTTGTAAGGGCAGAAATATCCACACAGAAGAGGATGCACTGGGACAGGTAATTACGAAGGTACAGCCTGTGGCGACATTGGATACCATGGATAGAACAGAAAAACTCTTGCATGCACGCAACTGTACAGGCCAATATGCGACCCGTCATTCAACCCAGCCGCGTGCACATCGTCACCGCCTTGTGCGCCCTCAATCAGTTAGCGAAACCCAGTTATGAGCAGAAGCGCATGTGTGTTTGTCCGTCTCCTTGGCGGGAGTGGAGAGGGGGAAAGGGCGCACATGCCGTCTGGAAAGAATTTGCAAGGAAGCAGTCGTTCAGCCCTTTAGCAGGGTTTCTAAACTCAACCATCATCAGACACTCCGAAACTCTACACTAAGCCTGTTTTTAGCCAAGTGCAGTGCCTGCCAAGCTTTGGACAGGGCGAGCTATTTCCCGTTGCTTGTCTTCTGACTTTGACTGAAGCTTCTCCTGGCGAATGTCATCTTCGCTATGCCGATGTTATTGATCACTACTGCAAGCATATTCGTGAGGTGCAGCGAAATGTGTTACCTCCTTCTCGGATGGCCCTGCATCAGCAGCTTCTCGCGAAGTACCTGCGAGTAACAATCTACTTCTCCTTCTGCTTCATGAACATACGAGTCTGCAGCGCCTGCGACGTCATCAGCCGGCGCCGGGACCTCCGCATTTCCCGACGGGACCTTCGCCTCGCTTCGCTGTCACTGGCTGTCAAGTGCAGGTGGGCAACAAAAGTGGCCTCCCTACGCACTCAAAGAGTTTCCTTTGGAGCTCGTCGCGCCTCCTCAGCTGCTTCTACAGCAGCCGCTTCTCGCGAAGCGCCTGAACGCAACTCGCATGGGGCCTGGGGAGCTATCGGGCCAAGGGGCAGTCATGTGAGCTTTTTCCAGTACACTGCGACGGGGTCCTGCAAGGTCTTCACCATCGGCGGGCATCTGCGCCATGCCCTTGGAAGGTCAGGGTCGTGAACGTCGTGCTCTTTGCCGTCTATTAATGCTGGATTTTCGTAGATGGTCTTGTGCAAATCCTAGACATCCGCTTCTGGCGGGTGCAACCGGCAGTGTTTGCGGGGAGGGCAGGCCCAGCCGTGATCAGGTCAAGGAAGCAACAGTGGAGGGCACAGCTGCAATGCGTAAGCTGCAGACTCCTGACGGCTCACTGGCCAACCTTGAGGGCAGTCGGATTTTTGTTTGAGAGGTGAATGCTTACAAGTGCTTCACCACAAGTGCTTCACCACAAGAGCCACATCAAGGTGCCAGGAGACTTCGGGTCACCGCCAGCAGGTTCCGGCGGTGCCTACGCTGCAGCTCTGCTTCGCTGCTTCGCTTAGAAGATCATCGGAAGAGCTCTTTGTACGATCAAACAACACACACACACACACATCCACAGATTGTGACTCATGCCTCCTGAGCATCAACTCCTCCGGCCGATGCCATTGCCAGGCCGTTGAACGTATGGCCCGCATTCACTACGGGACCCACAACCACAGGCCCGTGTCGACAAGCTTTGGGAGCAAAGAAAGGGATGTTGCTGCAAGTGTGCATTGAGTAGGAAGGCCAACGACACCGGAGTTGTGCTCATGTTCCTGATGGAGAGGGACGGCTGCAGGAGCAAGCATGGCCTATGCTCATCCCGCAAGTAGGAGCATCTCAGACTCCAGCAAGGTCCTGAAACCGGCATGTTGCGAACGCATGGGCGCAGCATCGAACAGCAGGAAAAGGGCAGTCCAAGCCCAGAGTGCTGATCCACAAACCATCTCTCCTGTGTCACCACGACGAAGACCGGAGGGATCGCAATCAGCATGGATGCTGCAGCCTTGGCTGACCACGAGGCAACGATCGTGGCATCTGAGCAGTGCAGCAACGCTGGGCACTCGACGGACACATTGGCACCGAAGGCTAATCGCACTTGCACATCGTTGTAGGGCAATGGCCTGGGCGAGGGCTTACATCGTTGCATCGGGACATCTCCATAGCTGCTCTTAGGAAGCAGCCCGGAAGATCGCAATGCCAAGCCTTCCCCACAGGGCCGAGACAATTCTGTAGTATATACACGCTAAATTCATCCCTGTACATCGGGCTCAATCACCGCGCACACGTAACATCCTTAATTCAGGCTACTTTGCAAAGCTGCATGGAACTCCTTGCGATCTGTCATTGCCAAAGCGAAGCATAACATGGGCTGCTGGCGAGTTTGTGGCAGTTTGTGGTTGCTCTGTTCGCTCCGGCAATGTTGCCACACTTTCTCTCCAGTCTGCTTCTGCAGCTACCTCAAGACCATCTTTCTCGGAACTACACTTCGCTGGGCTGTGCGAGCTCCTCACATGAGGCAGCTGCAGCTGCATCGACTTCTTTCTGACACCAGTATTATTTGGCAGGAGCAAGAACATGAAGACTTGATCTCTGCCTGGCAGCTAATGTCTGCATTCCCGACTCGCCTGGAAACGATGCCTGCACCTCAGCCGCTTCCACGCGCATGAGGTCGGCTCCTTTCAATCTGAGTTCGCGCAGGATGCTGACAGAGTGGAAAGCTTCACTGCAGTGCCCCTGTCCTTCGAAAGCTGCCACCTGGTTGCCAACTGCAAGAAACCAGCTGTTCCTCAGCGTTTCCGAGCCCCATTGCGAACAGAACCAAGTCTAGGGCACGTTGAAGTTGAAGCATCGACAGCTCAGGCACCCGCTGATAAAGGAGGCCAGCGGGGATGTGAAGCTCAATTCCGAAAGCATACCTCCTGAGTACAAGGAGACGGGGGTTACAGCGACAGCTGGGACATAGAGGATGGAGACCGGAGCTTGGAAGAATCGCCCAACGCCCCGATTTGATGCAAGGGCCTAGGATGTCTCGACTCGGAGTTGCTGGAGGCTACGACAACATCACTTTGGAGTAAAAGGCTATCGCATTCCTTGACTGCTGGACATGGACGGTGGTGCATCCGAAGATCCCAAAGCTCCTACCCCTGGCCAACACGTCTCCTGTGCGTTGCTCAAGTATCCGTGTTGCGGTGTCGGCCAAACAGTCGGAGCTCCAAAAGCGTCATCGCAGCAAGACGAGATGCAGCAGCCCGGCTGCATGCCGAGACCGCGGCGTGCCCGCGAGAAGTGTTGCACCGACCACTTCCACCTCCACTATGCCTCATAGTGGATCAGGACTCTATCCGATCCCAGGCCGGCAAAGGGCAGCCTTTGTCTTACGAATCCTGTGACTGTTGGCCGTCCAGTCTATGTCTAGTGGCTTCAGAACCACTGTATCATACCATTGTTGCCACCAGGGAATCTTAAACGAGGCCTGGCGGTATTGAGGCCCAAAATCGAGGTGTGATGCTTTGCGTACCACACTCCCCAATTCCACCCGGCAAATCACGGCTGTAACATGCTGTAACATGCAATATGTGCAGTTCGGTCCCACCCACCAGTCCGTCTGCCACCACCTACCCCCCTTCCTGTTCCTTGACATGCTAAGTTATATCACGACTTCTGCACCTGTTGGCAGGCAACTCCCCTGCTACGGCTATGACCATGCGAGGGCGTCTGATTCGAAGCCCAACTGCGGGCTTTAGTCAGTTCAGTTTCCTTGCTCTCGCATTCGCCGCCTAATGAAGCCTGCCACGCACCAGGGAATCTGAGGCGAAGGCCTTCCAGCAAAGGAGCTGCCCTGGAAAAGAGCTCGTTATGGCGCAGGCCATATCTCATATGCAAGGTGCATTCCGGCAATGAGCTGCATATCAGGGCCTGCTGGAAAATGCAGAACCGTCTCCGCCGCCGGCCAGGCAGGTTACGATACGGTTGCCTCACTGCTCTTCCAGGAAGGCGGAATAAGAAAAGGCGACGTAAGCTCCCTGAGCCTGAGCACCCGGCCCACTGGAAAAGGCGAGTAGCCACCGGGAGCTGCCTCTCCGAAATCCATGCGTCCGTCGCTGTGGGTATCTCTAGCGACTCTAGCGAGCAGGATGCAGATTCACTGGACTTGCCTGGAGTCGCAGCCCTGACGAGCAACGGGCCCCTGCCGTTCGCAGGCCGAAAGGCGCCCGAAGAAGCACGGCTGCCGGAGCCTCTCTGCGTAGGGTGCAAAAGTTGCCCAACGCATCACTTCCCGAACATCTATTCAAATTGGGAAAGAAGGCATACGGTCGTTGCGCTGCCAGGGTGCGAGAAGAGTCAACTTCGCAGAGCGAGTGAAAGTGTACGCAGTCGGTGAGAGTACGGTGGGATACGGTAGGTGTGCGCAATTGCAAGCCCCGTCAGCAAGCGAGGGAAGGTCGGAAAGTTACCTGTGGCTAAGGCCTCGCTACCTCGCTGCAGGCCATGCAGTAAAGATTTACGATGCTGGCCGCCAGGTCACGGAGGGGACAGCGCGCGCAAAACACGGCAGGTGGCATCCAGAGTTTTTCAAGTCTGGGAGTATGAAGTGCGAATTTGGCTCTGCCTTCACCTGTCTTGTCTCCGGACGGAGGGAGGGAGGGAGGGAGGGAGGGAGAGAGAGAGAGAGAGAGTGCGAGAGAGACAGACGGAGGAGAGAGAGCGAAAGAGATACAGAAAGAGTTGTCTATGAAACGCATGAACCGTTTCCGGGTCACGACAGAAACTGGAACGAACCGCGACTTCGCCGAGGCTTCTGTTTGAAGTATGGGTCGCTGCATGCAGCACGTTGCAGCACCAAAGCCGACCGCATCTCCCCGCTTTCTGACCACTATGGGGTGAAGCCAGGCCTGTCTTGAAAGCTCAAAGCCCACAAAGAGGGTGGACTTGGAAGTGTCCGATGTCCACTGCGCCTGGCTGACATGCAAATCGAGGGCACTCGTGATGGCCTTTTGTGTGGGCTCGGAAACCGGCCTGCAAAGCTGAAGCTGCGACCATATCCACCTGGAAGCTCCGTTTTCGTCTTCGCACATAAAATGCGCAAGATTCTCTGCAGCCACCTGCGCATCGATCAGCTCGAACGGGGCAGTCAAGGAACAGCTGGTGTCCAAAACCGTACCTGCGATTCTCCCCTGCTAGCATTCCTCAAACACGACTTAGCAAGGAGCATGCATGCCCCAAAATAAGACTTTGCCTCCACTCGTGAAAGTGCCTGCAGTCTGCACGAGCTCCATGAGAAGTGCAAGTTCAATGCGACGCTGAGTTCTCGGCCAATTTCCCAGGTGTTCTGCGCTTGTGCCTTCGTGCGTCGAGTCGCACCGTTCACGCTGTCACCAGGGAACAAGGATCCGCCCAAGTCCACCTGCTGCCCGGACTGAATACGGACGGCGAGTGAAATAAGATGGGACCTTAACCGTTCGCGGTTTCGGAAACCATGCCGGAGTCCTATAGCGTCCGCTTGAGGCTGCTGCGCTGCATCAGCAGAAGTTGTGGCCCTGTGGTACAATCGAAGCGCCGGGCGCCCGCCTGTTCGATTTTGCCAACTGCTGCTTCTCAAGTAGAGATAAAGACCACAGCAGAAACCGGAGCTGTGCCTGATGTGGTCCACTCGCAGGTTGTGTTCTCGGGCAAAGGCACGAACACTGGGTAAACCTCGGTGCGATCCAGCTTTCCCAAGTGAGGGTGCGCCGTCCGGAGACATGGAAACGAACTCTGCGACGAGGGTGAAACGGCCCTTCTCACATGCAAGCAAGCTGCATGCCCGAACAAGCTCAGCTCTGGATAGAACGGCACCGCACCATCCAAGAAGCTTCGACAAGGCTCCTAGTCAGACAGATCTTTTCTGAGTCTGGTTCCCCACAGTATGGCGTCCTCGCCCTGTATGCTGGGCGGCAAGATGATTTGTAGATAGTCTCCAGGATTAAGACGCGAAGCACGCGTGAAGCCTCGCACGAGACTGTTTCCACCGTCGTGGGCATGAGTGTCTATAATGCCTCCAATGCTACTTCATATCTTTGCTTGCAAGCCATGGCACTCACAAGCATAATTGTTTGCCCAGCTTGCAGGGAGAAAGGCAAGACCTCAGGCAGCGATGTCTCCACGCCTTCAGAGGGACAAAGCACCCGAGTGTCGGACAGCACAGTCAGAAACTGCTGGGACTCGCATGTTGCTGAAGCTGCCGATTACCGCCTCAACATGCCATTAGAATGTTGGCTGCTGAGGTTTCGCTGGCAGTGCCTCGTAGTTGGTGGCCGACACCAACTCAGCCTCTCAAAATGTGGGAGCGACTGAGAACCGAAACCGACACACAGGGTGAATCGGACCTCGGCTGTGCCGCTGAGCTCGGCAGACCTTCGTGGAAAAAGTGCAGAACAGCTCTTGTCGTTGTCGGCCCTGTGATTGGCGACCACCAGCGACTTTATTCGCTTCAATGGCTGCAACAGAGCCCTACATCAAGAGCCGAGGCATTGGACAAGTCGTGTGTGCATGCCATGGCTTGGCCAAGACAACCTCCTGAGGCCATGTCCATCGGTCGTACAGCTGCCTTGCCTGGTACCAGCACGGTCTTCAGTTGGAGGTCTGCTTCGTGCCGTTCGCTGAAGTTCGTTCGTCCTGTAAACAAACAAGTCAGCAGCACGGAAGGCGTGAGAATGTAGGCCTCCCCAGCTTGAGTCTTGAATCAATCTGTGGGAAGATCACACGAGCATTCTACCAGAAAGCAGAGCTGAAATACCCCGTCCCTGCTCCCGTGTCACCTTGAACAACTTCCATAAGGAAACCTGCACTGGGCACCTGCAAGCCGTAGACACGGCCACCCTGCAGAGCATCTGCAAGTTGAAGGGACCTTGGCAAAGGGAATCCAATGGCAAGGTCTTGTGATCTGGAATTTTTCTTGGCAGAATCTGAGGCATTCGCAAGGCAGCCGGGTTTCCAGCGAGCACTGAAGCCTGCAACCACGTGTTGGTCTGCCCTGCCCTTCGGGACATCTAGCAAGAATCAGTAGCCTACATGCGCATGTGGATCCCGCCGCCTCATCAGCGTTTGCTGCGGGCCTGAGCTATAGGCATGCAGCAATTGGGGAACTGCTCTTCTATCGGGGTTCCACATAAAATCAAAGGGCGGCACAAGTTGTGCGTTGTGCCCCGCAGCAGGAATGATGACCTGGCCAGAGGATCATGTTCGTTTCATTCCCAGTCAGCGGTGAAACTCCAGATTTCGGCAAAGCTCGCTTTGCCTCGTTTCCACTCCGAGCTCAGGCTGCCAGGACCTCGAAGGGAATGGCGAGAGCCACATCTCTGTCGTGCCAAACCCCTCGCTCCTTCGCCGTTTGCGAAGCTCCAAAGGCAATACGACAGTCCAACCGAGGCGAGCCATAGCAACCACAGCACATGTACTCAGAACCCGACCAACCTGGGGAACGAAGAGTGAGCCAGGATCCTGCTGGCCTTTGTTACAGAGCTTCGGCAACGTTTCGAAGGGCTCAAGTCGCTCCATCCTAGGTCACCTGCACTGCGGACACCTGGAAGACTGCAACCACGGCCACTGACTGGCCAGCGCCGGCAGCACCTCCACATTCGGCGCAAGAGCCAATTCACTTTTAGTAGATTTCGGATGCTGTGAAGTGTGCGACATGGCCAGTCACGAGACCATTGAGGATCTGCGATTAGACAGTAATCGATTCTGGCGCTCGTGCAGCCTGCAAAAACGACCGAAAATATTCGTTGCTCCATCTCCAGGAGGTACAGAGGAAAGGGCCTCGACCGGAGTGTGAAAGAAGCTCCTTAATGTTCAGCTGGACATGTCTTGCTCCTGGAAATTAAGCACGCCGCATGATGTCGGATGGGCTTCGCGGAATATCCTTCAACAAGAGCACGGTCCCATCATGTTACTTCTGGCATGGGTGTGGTGGCTAACTAACAGTTTAATGTGGTGTAGGTTTGGGGGCGTCTTGCTTGGAGAAGGGAGGGGCGAGCCCTTTTCCTCTGCTCAGGGTTGATGTAGGGTTTAGGATTCAGGAACCCAGGCCTCGCAGATGGAAAGCAACGGCTCTGCATCGCTGCTTTCCATGCGAAGTGCCTTAGCATCGGGCGAAACGCCGTTGCATCCCAACGGCATGGCAGCATAGACCCTAAAACCAGAAATTGTAGGATTCTTCAAAACAGGACGCCTGAACAGTCGCGCTCCAAATAAATATGCTGCAACATGATATAATGACCCCCAGTCGCCGTAGTCGGAGTCCTGAATCAGCTAGCCCTAATTTTGGACCTCTTGGCTTCCTGCCCAACCTGGCTGGTAAGCAGAGGCCTCCAGGTTGAGGACATGAAGACTTATGTCGGCTAGCCCTTGCAACGTGCAAAGCCAATCAGAATGACAAGAGCAAGAGCAGCAGGTCTGAGAATGGCAAGAGGGGTCAGAGCCTGAAGCGACTCGGTCTCAGAAGGATTCGACACCGTTACCTGCCAAGGAAGTGTTGGAAAGTGATGGAGGCGCACCTCCTCCGACTGCCGAGTGCCTGGAAGCCATAGGCACCAGAATTGAAGCCGAAGCCCAATCTGACCAGTCCGACAAACTTGAGTTGAGCAATTGAATTACGTCAGGGCTTCCCTTGAAGGACAAGCTCTGGAAGGGGATCATCGGGGTGTCGAACCTCTATTTGGGTATGTGGCCTGAGCTCATTAAGTTGCTGTGTCTTGTGATGGTAGAATCGTGACCTAACCACCAGCGGCTCTTTGCCACAGCGATCCATTGCGATGCTCGGGAGCAACAGCTTTCCGACAATGCCGTTACACTTTTGCGAACAAAGGTCAAGATGTCCAAAGACAGCTACAGCAGCAACGTCCTTGCTGACACGGTGACAGTGCTGGGGTTGATTCCCGTGTTTCGGCAGCAGCCGGATCAACCAAGTGCGGGGCGGCAGCATGCAGCGCACTTCTGTCGGGAGCAGTACCTTAAGAGGTGCCGACACGAGGCACTGCCTTTGCGCGCGTACAGCAGACAGCACCATTTAAGAGTCGTACTGAGCAGGCGGTTCCTCCATCCATGGCTGGTGGTAGGCCTTGCCTGACTCCGAGGCACCATGCACCCGGCGCTCATTGCAGGCATCCCGCATAAGGCCACCGCAGAGGCTGAAACTGCACGTCCGAGAAGCGGAAAGCCGCTGGCCTCTGCAACTCACATGCGCGCAAGTCGAGGCTCGCGACGACATGCGACGACGCATAAGCCCATCGACACAATCCAGCGACGCTGCGAGCCAATAATCGGCAACGAAGCCCGCTTCATTCCCGCTTCGATCAACTTGATCCCCTTGGTCTCGGGCGCGAGAAGTCGAAGTGCCAAGGGCTGACTGGGACTTGATACATCAAGACCTGACGAATGTTTCAAGTGTAGGGCATTGCCATGCAGAATGGAATCACGGAAGGGCAACTCCCATGCTGCCTGCCTGCAGGCACCGTGAAAAACACCTCAAGCTCAGGTGCGGAGAACCCACACAGGTTCATCCACACGCTCGTCACACACTCTCAGATGTCGCAGAAAGGGTACGGGCTTGTGTAAAGAGGTACGAGTAGCGACATCTTAGATCATCTCAGTGGGGACAATTGCAGACACGTGCCGTAGCAGAGTCGCATAGAGCAAAATTTCGACATTACGGCATGAATCTGACTTTCTGCAAACCTTCGGGCGCTTGCTGCTCACTGAGAGGGGAAGCCTCACCGACCTTTAGCTTAGCCTAGTAGACGGTTCCAAACATGGGAGCCAGGTTTGACATTATCAAGAACGTTGTTGATGACACCCCGGTCGAAGTCCTTGGATGACCTCGAGATTGGTAGTTACAGACGTTTACGTGATCAAGTGTCGGCGAGAGCCAAACAATGAGACGCGGTGAGCCAACGACAGAGTTGCATGTGTCTTGTGCCTAATCTGGTGGCCAGCAAGGATGGAGTGGCACTGCCCGGCCGGAGCGGAAAGCTTGGAAGTTGGCTGATAGCCAAGACAAGGTAGAAATTAGTTGAAGGAAAAGAGCTCCCATCCCGACTTTGCATGTCCATACGTGTGCTTTTCGTCCGATGGTCTGGCTCTAGATAGCCCTGAAGCCCTAGTCGCTCGATATGGCCACTCTTGGAACTGCGCTTGGATCTGCTGCCTCGCACCTGAATCATCGGCACGTACTTCGACTGCTGCAGGGCCATTCTGATCTGAACCAGCTTGGACTCCGGCCCAGCAACATCGACGAAGGTGCCAACCTGCAAGCAAAGCTGAGACCAAAGTCCCATAATTCTGCCCAGACTGCAATGGAACACAAGCAGGTAAGAATCGGGCGAGCAGTGCTGAAGGGCCATCACAACCGGGAAGGCTCCGTCGTCACTGGAAATCTCCTCCGGGCACTGAGATGGAACTTTGTGTGCGATCGGATACTGTAGATATATGAAAGATATGTTTAGACCTCGACTGGACATGTGAACGCATCAATGATGGGTCACGACGGCCACGACGTGGAAGTCGTGCTGCGTCCTTCTGGACAGTGACCGGCATTGATGCATCCGGGAAGCTCGCGCTCAATTGCAGCTGCACATTCCTGGCAGATGCTCGAGATGTCTTGACCGGCGACTGCTTGCTGACCAGCAGACTCAGGCTGGTGAGCCAAAGATGTCTTCAATATGCAAAGGTCGCCATACATTCTGTGATGTCATCGATGCAGGATTCTGCACCTGAGGATGATCAGCTGGGACGCTCTGCATTAAAGGACCTCTTGAGCCCAATCTGGCGAGCCGGCATTTATGGAATATGTGTAGGTGGAAGCCTCGCTGCATCCAAAGCATCAAGGCGGACTGAGGCTTGCTCCACGGTGCAGGCAGCATCGGTATCCGCGCCTGCCAAAGAACCGTAGTGCCCGGCACTGTCAATGTCACCGCACCACTGGAAGGAGTTCCTTAGCACCGCATACTTCAAAGTACCGAAATCTTTTCCGGGTTCCCGGACCGCATTTCAATTTGACATGAGCTCCCACCTGAAGCAAGTACAGGTAAGGGCGTGTCTCTCCTGACCTGTGAGCTGCCCGGCTGCGATGCAAGTGTGCAAATCACGAAGCTTATGGCACCGGTGATGTATACAGACACTGAGCTCGCATCCCCTTGCAGGGACATGCCTTGCAGGATGGGAAGGACGCGTCTCGTCTCCGAAGCGCTCCGGGCCGGGCCTGAGGGTGTAGGTCCATGGCCTGTGATGAGAAATCCAGCTGGTGGCCTTAGGGTACATCAGACTGCGCAACTTCATGTTTCTAAGGCCACGTTGCCGGTCGAGCGGCGTGACCTGTAAGGAGATCCCGCGAGCCACGAAGCCCAAGCGGAGAAGCAGCTCGAGTTCTGGCAGAAGCATCCATCCGCGCAAACCGTGCGCAGTCGAAGCCGGTACGGTCCGGCCTTGACTGGCGCCCCCCATTAGCGAGGAAGGCCTTAGAAGCCCAGCACGAAGAGTCCAAGAATCGATGTGGAAGTTGCGATCCCCCGAGGCTCCCGAGCTGGGACCTAGGCACGATCTGAAAGCCTCGAAGCTCGCTGGGCGGCGAGCCGAAAGAGGCGGACCTACAGTGACCGGGGCCATCCTATCTTGAGATCTGGGAGGTAGGTCTCGTGCTAGAAGGAGCCCTAATCTAAGGAAGCCCTAACTTCAGAAACTTCCGTATCTTAACACTCATATCTGGCATGGGAATGTGGGCACGAGTAGGGAGTCTTGCCGGATCGATGCTCGCCCTGACCTTTATGGGATCTTGATGAGAAGGTGTCATCTGTTCCACCGCAACACCCGCCGAGTTTGGCAGAACTGTGTCCCTGGCTGCAATTTGCCGACATCCTCGGCTGCTTTTGTTGCAGTTTGCTGCAGGCAGGTACCATTAATTACTGGTCCAGACCAGAGCCCGGAAGAACAGCTGCAGCAAAGTCGCCGAATTCGCTGACCGGCGCAGCTCTGCCCAAACGTACGAATGTGCGGCAAAACCTGCAACTGGGTCTCAACGGCAGGCTGCCTACAATGAACCTCCCCGCATCACGGCATGTGGGAACGAAGAAGCGTGCAGTGTCTGGAGGGGAACGTGGCTGGCCTGCCTGTTGCAAGGCTTTGGGAGAGTGGTGCATCCGCCAGCGTCAGGCTAACCCGCACACTGCGCATCCTGGGCAAACTGGATTGAAGCTTTGTGTCTTCCACTTCGAGATACCGTTCTGACCGGACAGCTTTTGCAAATCAAGGAACGAAGTCCAGCTGCCTGGTATCTGGAGATCCAAGATTGTTGCAGGCAAGCCAGAAGTCGCAATGAAAGTGAGGCCAACGCCTGCTCAACTAGTCAGCCATTTGATGAGAGGTTGAGAAGTGAGAGAATAAAATTAAAAGCCGGCAGCAGCTACTGCACCCGGGGCCTGAAATGCTTTGGCTGCCTGCTGGTTGCCCCGTTGCATCCACATTGGACCAATATTGTATAGATGCTTCTGCCGGGGACCTCAGAAAAGCACATGGGTTCTGAGAGTTCTGTTGCCGATACCAGGCAAACAGGGGAATGCTCTGGAACGTTCATCAGAGGGGAGATGGACAAGGCTGCCAGTGACGCAAATCATGATCAAATTAGTATGCATAGTACAAGTAATATCAACAAAAATGTTGATAGTACTGGCAAAAGTCTTACTTCGTAGTGTTAACAGTAATCGCAGTATTGATCGCAATCGTAATAAAGCTGATCGTAGTTTCTAACTCAGAGAACTCAACTCCCCGAGCTCATTTGCACTGCTCGGCTAACACGGCCCAAGTTTAAAGGCAGCCTGCTCTAAGTATTTCTTTGGCTATCGCTAGGAACATTCTTATGAGTAGTAACATTGCTATCACCATTTCTATGCATAATTCTGTTCATTGGCAAAATCTGCCAAGCAACCCTTCCGCGCTCCAAGCTCGCGAGCCGAAGCTTGGAAGGAACACGAAGCCTTGGGAAAGCAACGAGTTTGGACGCATTTTCTGGTCAATAAATCGCAAAGCAAGCACTTCCTGGCATTGCCTCGATTAGGTCAGGATGCGTAGCTTCTGGGCAGCACCAGATGCAAGTCCTTTCAGGGTCATCTGCGTTGTGCTGCCAGAGGTCACCTCCTGCAGGAGGCTTCTCCAACCAGCGAGATGCAGAAAGGACTCGGACATTGCTTTGACTTTGGCCCCCGGTGCTCCAGGACGGCTGCGCTGCCGAGAGCCCGCAACTGCAATGCCCCGGCCGGCTCCTGGCATGAAGTTCATCTTTTTGGGGAGCAAAGGAAATGCAAGGAAAGGCTACTCTGTCTCTTCCACTTCTCCACCAAGGCACGCGGAGATCCAGCGGAGATGACTCCAAGGCTTCGTTGCCACAGCGAAGAGTCAAGCCCAGTGCAGCACTGCTGTCGGCCTGCTGGCCATGTGAAGCAGTGCCCGGTCCATGGCTCGAAGACTCACCCATCAGAAAATCCAGCCTCAACCCCCAGAACTTCCGCGAGGAGTACGAAAGCATACCACTGTCCGGTCTCAAGGGTGGGCAAACCCACAGAGTTCCCAAAAGCGATGTTGATGGCATCGCCTGACAAACGCTATACGGCACAGCACCGTCTTCATATCCATTGAAGTTGTGCCAACTCTTTCGGGCCCACTTCTTGGTGACCTTCGCCTTCGGGGCTTTGGGCCGTCTTCCACACCGGGCCTTTTTGTGTCATCGAATCCCAGGAGCAAGAGATCGGAGCTGGGAACTCTGTGCTGCCGTAGACCTCCAGCAGCACCTGGCAAGGCTAAACAGTCGTGGCAGCAATCACCACAGCATGCTGAAGCAACAAGGCATGTATAGGTACACACAGGCATACAGACATACAGACATGCATACATCTATGTATGAATATGTCACATGTATGTGTATACACCGCCACCACCACAACACCACGACCATGATCACCACCATCATCACCACCACCAAGAGTATCACCCTTTTCTTCTTCTCTATCATCAACAGCATCCGACTAAGCATATCTATCTTCACCGTGGCAACCGAATCATGATAACAATAATCTCAGAACTTGTGATGTTAGTATGACCGGTGACCACGGCAATAAGACTAATCGCAGCAATGTGATGTGATACAACCGTCGAGCTATGTTATGATATCAACCGGCCGAAATGAGATGGAATGGTACTATGTGCCAAAGCATGATGTTGTAACCAGCAAGACATGGACAGCTTTGCTTGAGTGCGCAAATGCACCGAATGCTTATGTTCTTATATATTGGCTGAAGCTTCAGCTCTTTTTGCAAACAAAAACACGAAGGCGATGCACTACACCGCCGGCCTCTGCACACTCGGCATCTTCCTTCGCCCTGGCACGCTTGAGTTGTCGCCTAGATTACTCATAATCAAAGATGCCACAAAGTTAGTACATCGTGGCGTGGTGGCAAATAAGAGAGTCTGGAAAGAGGTGATTGGTTGCCCCAACCTCGTGCCCATGTCGTCTCTATGCGACTCTAGTCACAAGGAGAAAAAAGAAGAGCAGGGGATACAGTCCGCAGCATACATTGACGTGTCAATGGAGTCTTGTGAGGAGACAGGGGTGATGTTCAGGGAGCTCATCCTTGGGCGATGGACACGAAATCCTGACACTCCATGCCGCCTTCCGGTTCAGATTCAAGCAGATGTCCGCGCAGGCGCTGCGACGTGCAGTAGAAGGGGGCTTGGGCGGCTCACTTTGATGAAGGTCCTGATAGGAATTCGGCATTTCGCTTCGCAGAACTTGCCCTCTCCCAGTCTCCAAGCGTTGGAATCGGGGCATCTTAGGGAATCGCAGCCTGAGCTGGAGAAGAAGCAAGGGTTCTCAAGGGGGTGGGGCGTGCTCGGGGCGCGCGCCGGACCTGGGTCCAACCTGCTGCAAACTTGGGCATACTTGGGCCCTGAGCAGAATCGCCAGATGCTTCAGCGTAGAACTTGTCACTTCATTGCTCTCCGCATGGTTCGGAAAGCTAACATCTGACACCCAGCCATGCTGGCGATTCAGCACTCCCGACTGCATCAATCATGATAAGGCTATGACGTCCTGGATCTTGGCAGCTGCAGCCTATATCACAACATGCCGGTGACACGTGAGCGGACTGCCGGAGGCCGACCGCAACACGAGAAGTTGGTCCCTGTCAGAGCGGGGTGCCATGTGGACACTTTGTGCAGAACCCTGTGTTGCGACTGGGCAAAACCTTTGGAGAGGCAGAATCCTGTTTTTAGGCAATGGGCTATCAAAGCGAGCACCATCACACAGCTAAGCTTTGGCCACGAAGGGCAGCTCTTCTCATGTCTACGTCTACGGGCTCAGAACGGCCAGCGCCGACCGTCAGGCCGCCGGGGCTTCGGCTGAAGTGCCTTTTCAAGACAAAGACATCATCACTGACAAACGCATCGACTTGGCTCCTGCCTCAGTGCCGCGCACGACCGCGCCCCCGACCACGTGGCCGCGGCGGTGGGCTGCGGTGGTTGGCTTGCCCGACTGCTCGTCCAGCCGCCCCAACACAGCTGGCAAGACCCGCAGAACACAGGCCCACATTACAGGCCGTGGCTGCATGGTAGCCAACTCCTGACAGCTGCTCTGAACATTCGTTCATGCTGCTGACAGCTGACATCCAACTATGCGAGCTGGTGAAGCCAAGATGCGAAAGCTCTGTTTCCTAAGACCACAGAGTGTGCAAATCACTTGAAGCAGTCCCAGCTAAGCCACATGCACCTGTGTCTTGTGCTGACTGCACGCCATACATGCACCCAGAAACGTCAGCAAGATTGACAGCAATTGCTACTTGCTTCGACTCAAAACGCATAAGAAGTGGGATCTGTCGCGGCGAGCCGGGGTCAGTTATCACAAGCTACCTTTACGACCTCACATTCACAAGCACTTCAAACGCTGCAGTAAAAGACTGGTCTTCGGAGGGTACAAGCTTTCACTGGTCCTGAAACCGAAACTGAAAAGGCATACCATGCTAAATCAAGGGGCTTTGTTTTGTGGTGGAACATCTGCATCGCAACGTATCTCGACAGGTCAATGATCAAGAGAATCTGGCTATGCACGTAAGATCTGTTGTGGGATCTGATACTTATACTAATAACTACAAGAGCGAAAGCTGCAAACATCAAGGTTCACTGTGTCCGTGGCGACTGATTCAGCTCAGACCCACACCCAGCTGGCCATCCACCCAAGGCTGCAGTGCCCTGCAGAGTCTTCTCTGGGACGCGCCATCCACCAGTTTTTGCCTGAGGGCACGGGTGGCACACTCAACACCGGCGAGTGAACTCGCACCGAAAATTATGAACTCTGGTGCCAGTACGCAATGAGAAATGAGAAACCTCGATTCTGTTCTCGTGCTACGCAAACAGGTCTGCCAGTTGATTGCATGCAATGCTTCAACACGCCCCGTTCTGTGCGTGCTTCGGAGGAGTGGGAATGCACGACAAAGCTGCTTGATGCTTGTCGTACCAAAACAGTCCCACCGTCGCCACATTCACCATGAGCAGTCCGCCCTTGGCTCTGGCTCTGCAGATGCCGAGAGGTGCTGTGCTACCTCTTTGCTCTCGTCTAGACTTGCACAAGGCCAAACAGGCTGGCAGCACGGCGGCTGTCAGCGTGGCACCAAAGACGGAAACATGATCTAGCTAGCCTTTGGCCTTTTCTAAGAGAGCTTCTTTGACCACTGGCTTCTCAGTGCATCTGTGGCGCGAGGGCTCCCAGGATTCCGAACTGCTTGCAGGACGACGCCACATTGGAAAGGTCAAAGTTGTTGGGCAGCATGGCGCCCGATTTCCAGCTTCTAGGGTTCTTGCGGAGGCGACTAGCCTGACTACCCGTAAGACCTCCATGCTCTCTACCGGTCTTATCGCTACTGCTTTCAGAAGATTCATGCGATGGACCGGAGCTTACCGAGGTTGAAGGAAAGTTGCAGCTTCAGTCTCAATGAGCTCGAGCCGAGCATCGGTGCACCACAACATGCTGTCTGTGAATGAGGGAACCTGCTAAGCGGAATGCAAGGAGTCGGAGCCTCATGAGGGAGAGCTGCAGATGCATGTCTGCGCCACCTCCGCCACGAACCCCATCAAGGCAAACTCTTGGTAATGGACTTGCTTGCATCGTGCACGTCAAGTCGAGACTGACTGAGAAGCTCGGAGCACCGCATGTAGCATAGTACGCAGTCTCCACGGCGGTTGGGAAATGCACAGTCAAAGGGCTGACCTTTGCAGGCTGCGGCAGCAGCAGCCCTGATGCAACATGAGGCCCACAGAAGCATCTCGGGGTTGCACAGTACCACGGACGGAGAAAGCCAGCACAGCGCCGGCAGCTGGGTTGGGGAGCTCGCCGCCAAACTCCGGAACTATGGAATACCTGCTGCCATCATTCAGCAGGCATGCAGCTTGTCTGCACAGATGTTGAACTGAGAGTGTTGCGCTTCTCTGGCGGCAGCGAAGTGTGTCCGCGAAGCCCAGTTGATCATCATGGTCAGCACATCCCGTGTTCCTTTCGGGGAGAAGGATCAAGAACATGGATCATCTTAGGCACTTGCTCCCAGGAGCTAATGCCTGCTACCGTTCCACGATTCTCGGCATCCAGTCTGAGACGTATCTCTGCCAGGGGATGTGGATTGCTTACCTGCCACCATGCTGCTACATGCCAGAGATGGAATGGAGAGGAAAGACGCTGGCCTGGCTGAGTCGGCATCCGATCCCATCCCACACAGCCACCTTCATTTTTTCAAACTTTCAATGAATTAGCCAAGTTGGGCTGCAACTGTTGCAGCGGCGGAAAACCGCAAGATTGTGTGAGATTGAGCCTCCACAGCCAGCAGGGCACTGCCAGGGGCTGCCGTGCAGCTCGTCACGTCGCGAAGCGCCAGAGATGGAGCTGTGATGAATACATCCACCTTGCAATGGAAAAAACGTCCGTCAGTGAAAAAGGCAGCAGTAGCTGCCACACCGAAATCTCTTTGCCTACTCTGGTTGTGCTCCCAGCCACCTGCCCAGCCCAAAGACCGAGCTGAACGGCCAGCCTCATGCATGCTAAAGACAGCGAACGCAGTCGCCCGATGTCTGGACATGCTGCGGTGAGCGTTTGCTGCATTTGGGTTGTTTATGGTTGTTTCGAATACACCGCGTAGGTCTTTCTGAGCAATATCCTACATAAGCATTCTCTATCAAGAACGTCTTCTTTGGCCGGTCATTGGCTGCCGGAGCCCTCCATGTCAGAACATCCGCTGCAAGGGAGCATCACTCATGCAAACTGAACACTAGCAGCCTCGCTTCGTCTTTTTCGACGAGGCCACACAGGCACTCGAGAAAGCCATGAGGTCATGCCCACAAAACAAATGCGTTGGACATTGCCTAGCATGGTCATTTTGGATTCCCGTCTCATGCCTCTCACACAGCTAGTCATGACCTGATGGTGCCACAAATCTCATATTTTGCCAGCCATCCAACTGTTGTGCCAGCGCCGGGCAGTTGCCAAGACGCGGACCGCTGGAGCACTGGCTCAAAACTTGCAAGCCTTCACTTACCCTTACCACCAGATACTGTCCTAGAGTTTCGCGATTGTCGAGCACAGCGAGGATTTAGATGGAGGATGTAGATGGAGTGGGACGAAGGACGCAAGGCTACGCAGCAGCTGCCTCAAAAACCATCATCAGTGTCGTAATGCACTGGCTCTGGCTCTTGACCCTTCGAAAGTATGCACCACTTCGGTTGCATGAAACTTTCGACAGGATCATCCGGCTCAAAAGTGATCTCAACCAAGCCGGTTGAGATCCTATGCTGCAAAACCTTGACAATGGGAGTTGGCTGCATGCCACAGAAAACAGTGTCGCCTGGCTTCAAGGAGCTTGCATGAACAACCTCCTGCGGGCAGCCTGACGAGTTAGGGATGACCACCCTGTGAGTGCTGCTCACCTGCAGATAGCAAGCTCTCGTCCGGAGTTCCACCACCTCCCTCATCTCCTCCGAGTGGTGCGTAACATTGAATACCTTGACCTCTTTCGGGCTGGAGGTCCATCACAGTTTTGGCAGTGGTGGGCGAAGTGTACAGCATCGTTCTTGGCAAGAAGCAACAGGGCTGCTGTCCCGTGTGCAAGAGCCTTTTCAGAAAGCTCCTGTATTTCTCGCCCAGGAATCCAGAAAACTCGTCAGCCGTTCCACAACCCGTCAAAAGGGTAATGACTGAGGCTACATTTTCCTCTTCCATGCAACCTGCTGCGAAAGCATCACGATGGCTGCAAGACTGCGCCTCCAAAAACGCGGCCAGTTCTTCTGCCGTATCACAGCCCGTGTGCTCGAAAAGGTGCGCCATCACGCAGCTTCGACCCTTTACAGCCAGCTCTTCTATCGTATCACATCCAGTGAGGTGGGTGACGAAACGTGGCAAATCCACTTGCTCTCCAGCAAGCTCTGCATAGGCATCGCGCACAACATATCCAGGGATTCCATCTGGTGGATTGGCAGCTCCAGCGCTGAGTGCCGCCTCAACTTGTTGCAGCAGCTTCTCCCTGCAGTCCATCTCCGCCTTGATGAGCATGCAAGGCCGTATTGCAGCAAGCCCTTGCATGAACACAAGATAGTCGTAGGATTCTTTCAAGGTATGGAGTTCCTTCTGGAGCTGGTAGCGGTGTGGCAACAGCGCTCGCTCTTCGGAGCTAGCAGTGGTGTTAACTGCAGATGCTGGCATTACATAATACCCGTCTGATAGCACGAAGCCGAGGTTGCTGATGCCAAGTGTGGTCCACGAGTCATCTGCCAGCTGGACACGGAGAACCCAAGTCTTCTCGCTTGAACTGGTAGGTGCATGGAAGGTCGCTGCAGACTTAGCATGAATGATGTCCCCACGGTGCAACGTTCGGACAACTCGACTGTCCTCAGCGCATTCTGCGTGAACATCGAGGTGCTCTTTGCAGACGATCCCAGGCACGATGGTCTGCTCTTTAGGTGCCGGCCCTATCCCTCCCAAAACACCAAACAACTTGCTTCGGTCATGAAGCAAGGCCACCGGCGAGCGCTTGCAACAAAAGGGCCGAAAGTGTTTTGCAAAGTGCTTGGCGACGAAGTCTAGCGCACTAGACTCGCTAGACCACAGACTACACTGATCATTGCGAAAACCCAACCAGCTACCATCGACCAGTTGAATTTGCCTCCGGCCGATCCTGCTTGCCGAACCAAGGCCGCCCATGCACGTGTCCCAACTCATGGGTGGAGCGGATCTCCTCTCCCCTACGCAGCATGCGGCATGTCTCGCCGAGGGGTCCCAAAGCGCTGTATGCAGGGATATCTTCCAGGCAGATGAAGCATCTTTCTTTGGTGACACTCTTGCGCACATCCAATGCAGCTACAACTGCATTGGATGTGTTGATTACCAGCTTAATCAAGCCCCAGATCGGGCCACATAACGCCTTCCCAGTCTCGAAGACAGCGCCAGAGAAAACGAAGCGCAGAATCGCACATTCACCGCATCCGGAGGGAAGTTTCCGCATGTTTTCAGAACTTGCGATAGTGCGCGGAAAGACTAACAAGGCCTGCAGATGCCAAGGGCTATCAACAACAATAAGCCATGAAACATTTCCCGGCAGAGGTCGTCACAAAACCAGCGCCGCATGTCATCAATCCGGCCTACTCTCAATCTTGTTGAAATCATCTTGTAACCCCTATGATAAACAATGACTCTGGGCATGCGACTCCACAGTCGTCCGTGTCCCAGCTGCCTGAGCACAAAAGGCACGGTACGTCAGAAGGTCAAGGTGGTGGCGACTTCAGGGTCTTCTCGCCTGCCTGCACCGCGGAGCGTAGCTGTTGCAGTCTGGCCGGAGGAGTCAGAGCCAGCACGTCCGGGGCGAAAGCCACGCTGCCTCGGCCTGGTGCTTAAGATCTCAGCTCCTGTGTAAACAGCACCTAAACCCTAAACCGTAAACCCTAAACGCTAAACCCTAAACCCTAAACCCTAGCCGCTGATGGATTTTTGGTGGCGCCTGTGGCGGCTTCCAGTGCCAGTGCCCAGTCGGCCGAGAGTCCAAAGATGGGCATCGGGAGGTCCAGGCGGAGACCTTCCAAAGAGCAGTCTGGTCTCAGTTTACTTCACCGATGCTGAAATGTACTGTCGCTTGCTTAAGCCACTGAGTGCGACGAGGTCACTGAAGGGCGGTTGCCCGGGTGAAATCGAAAAGTCTGCTCCGGCAGTGCATTTCACACCTCGGCATGCCCGAAACAGCAAGAACTCGACCTGGAACGCAGGCAATGCCGCCCAGGCACCGTTCACTCGGAAGCCTCCCACGCGGAACCAGACACAGTCCATGCTGCCGGGAAGGTCCGTGTAGATCAGGCGTGCAGATGCACCGCCGACTGACAGTGACACAGGCAGCAACGAGGAAGCACATGTCCCGTGTTATGCTGGGCTGCTTTCTTTCTCCTGCAGGCCTTCTACTATCGAGGTGTCTGCAAGCACGTCCAGATCGAAAGGTGACAAGGGGAGCGGAGCGAAAGTCAGGACCTCGAAGCGCCACTGCCGTCCGTACCAGTATGGCCATGCCATGCCATGCCCAAGCAGGCCAGGCAGCATCTCCAAGTCCAAATCCGGCCGGCGACTGAAAGTTGAGCTCGAGCGTAACAGAGGAGCCTGCAGCTGGGGCACTCACGTGCTCGCTGTCTTCATTAGAATCTGCCTACCCCTTGCCTCAGAGCATGTCGCCGTGTTGAGAGGCTACGAAGAGTGTTGGGTCCCTAGCCCGTAAACGACTTCGGGAAAAGGTGACGCATGAGGTCTACATTCCAGATGTAAGACCCTTGGCCCAACTTCGTTCACAAACGGTCGAGTGTTGGTTTCTGATCAGAAACAGTGGCCCGGCCAGGAAAACATCATCGTTGCGGAAATCATTCAGATACCATTCTCCCCTTTTACATAGTTACTCACGCTCTCTGTCTCCCTGTCTGTCCCTCTCTGTCTGTCGCCATCTCCCCTACCTGAATCTATGGTCACGCTGACCGTGCTGCCCAAAATGCAGTGCACGGAGAAACCAAATGGCTGCTTACGTTTCTGCGACTTCCTCGCCTGACACGTTAGGCACTCTGACGTCAAGACACAGCAGGCCTGTCGGTGTCAGACCCACGTCCGGAGTGATTGCGGCGGTGAAGGTACTGACGAATCCCCGCAGCCCTGACCACAGAGCTTCGGCTACGTCTGCTGTTCGTGCTCGCTACGGATTTCAATGGCCCAGAATCCCTCTGATATTGTCCGATGTCTCTGAATGCCGTGCTGGTATCAGGTATCATTTTCGAGGAATCGTTTACAACATAGTGAAAACAGGTGCTTGCGCTAGCTGGAGGTGGCCGAAGAGATAAGAGAGCTCGGAGATTTATAGGCTGGACTGGGCCAGAGGGTTAGTACCAAAAAATGCGGAAAGGACCCACCTGCAAAACTTCGTGGTAGCAGAGGAAGCCGTCCTGGTCCGGAGGAATCCTGCCAACTCCCGACATGTCTTTCGCAGTAGCTGTGCATGGCCGGAAAAGCCTTGGTGCCATAGTCGTAAACGGCAGCCGTGCCTGCACACAGAGACGGAGAGAGTAATCCTTGCTCTATGGGCTCTATGCAAAAAGGCATCTTCCGGAACAAGCAGCTGCCCAGAAAAAAAAAGGTTGGCAGCCTGCCTCCCAAGGCTGTTCAAGCTACTCCCGGCCTGCTGGCGTCTGCCAGCGAAGCATCAAGGAGAACTGCCAGACATTCTGTCCACAATCCGCAGCAGCAAAGCTGAAGCTGTCGCTCTGTGGCACTGCATCACCTCCGCAAGTACAGCTAAGCAAGCCCACCAAACGATTCAGAACATACCGGCACTATCACAACACCTGCAATTCCTAACGAGATCAATGCATTTCAAGAGGAGGTGGGTCCAGGACAAAATCGAACACTTGCAGAGCTTTACTTCTCCTGCGCATGGCTAAAGCATCGCCTGGACAGCATGTCGAAACCAGCGAGCACGTCCCGGCAGAGAGGCTGAAGCCCTTGCACCCAGTGGTCGCCCTGCAGCGCGCTGCCTGGGAGCTCAGATTAGACTTCAGGGGCGGATCGGAGCATGAGGGTGCTAATTGTAAGGGATACTACTAGGATTACTGTTATATATGGGGGTCATGACAAGGTTACTGAATCCTTGCAGTAGGGTGTCTGCTTGAAACAGAATCCTTGCGCTTGCGCATCAACCAATACAACGACCTCTGTGCATGGTGGTCGAAACTCATTGGCTAAAAGAGTGCTATGGATGCTCCATCCAGCATGTATGTCTGCAACTTCAGAAAACAGGTCCGCCACGGACTGCCGCGGGTCGAGTTGCACAGTCGGATACAGATGATGCAGTTGAGCTGGAGATCGGTGTGCCTGCGCAAGCCGTCCTGACGGATGGGAACAGTCTGCCGCCTACGACAGCAGAGCTTGGCTGAGATATGCCAGGCCAGGTTGCTCATCCGAGTGGATGAAATAGCCGTCCACTTCGGATGAAAACGCTGGACACCCCAAGGGATCACCGTTTACCTGCAGATTCGGGCTTGTTCATCTGCACATGTGAGGATGGGAAGGGAGAGAGGGGGCCTCGCAGCTGTAACACTCAACCGCCCACTTCTCCAGCTCGCATTCTTCCAACGTTGCGAAGGTATGGCAAGTGCCGACGTCCTGTGACAGTCGGACAGAAGCTGGCTGCCTCTTGCCTGACGTTGCGGAGCAGATATTGGCTGTTCTAAGTTAGGGTTTCCGGTTTCCTGCCACTTACCTCTTTGCTCTAGGCAAGACCGTGAAGAGCTCCTGGCGGCAACATTTGTCAACATCCGTATCCAGGCTGTCTGCACCTGGGCTCCAGTACTTGTCAGGACTCAGGTAGGAGATTCAGGGCCGATTTCAGTCTTCAGAATGAGAATCCCGAAATGCTCCGAGCTCCAGATTTCGAGGCATCCTACGGTCACAAACTGACTGTGCTCGATTGCTAAACCTCTGCTTTTAGCTCCTGAGCGATGATGTGGCCTCACAAATGGGGGGGGCAGTCTGCATGATGGCAAGACTGTTTCGCGACGTCCCACACGATCAATACTTTCGACAGACTTCGAAGACTGCGCACTTTGCAATCAAGCAGCTAGAAGTAGATTCATTCAGGCTTCCGCCGACCTTGACGAAAAATCTGCCTCAGCTCAATGCTACTCGATGCTTGCCACTGCCAGAAGCTCCCAACACTGAACGAGTGTTAGTGCATCTTTGGTGCCACCTAGAGCAGCACGGCCTTCGCAGCTGCGAATGGCTGCTGGAGCCAAATTCTCCGCTTCAAGCTCGATCCTGCAGACGACAAAGCGTCGCGTTCTGACCGCTTCGTGCTTCGCTGGTGCTCCGTCATTGCTGAGCACCCAACCAGTTTGTGGCATTTGACGGCGCTTCTGCAAGATCTAGAACGAGCAATCCTCGGAAACAATCTACGCAGCAAGCAAGCAGAGCACGATGTCTTGATAGAGAGTCCCCACAAAAGCTGCGAAGGCAAGCCCCTCTGATGCATTCGTTGCCGAGGAGCGCGCGTCCGTCAGCGAACAGCTAGTGAAGGAGGTTGAGGCCGACACCAGCGAGCAGAGTGGCGGAGAGAGGAGGCGCAGCTGAGCAAAGCTGCTTAAGCAAGCTCCGAAGCACTGACTTCCCTACCACTGCAGTCATTCGCACTTCGATACGCAGACAACACCGCGTTGCCTGCAGCGCATGCAGCTGCAGCTCTAGCCGATGTGAAGTTGACCCTGACGGCGGAAGGACATCCGACGAGAAAACAGTTTGGAACGCGCAGGACGGCAAAAGCAGCGCTGCACACTGCGCTGCACCTGCTTCCACTTCCGCGGAGAAGGTCAGCAGCAGTTTGCTTGGGCTGAAGGCGATACCTGATCGGGCTAGTGATCAAACCGACGTACTCAGCTGCGCCTCGCAGAAGGGGGTGCCAAATGCAGCCTAGAGTGCGATGCCAAACATGAAGGTCGGCCGATGGAGTGCTGTATGCCAGTACACACCTAGCACAGGGATGCGAACATAGAAGCAGAACATCCAGCATTGCAAATTGCAGCCGGGGGCCCTACAGCGCCAGAGAACGGAGGAGGCTTCGTGGCCGATAGTCCCATGGAAACCACATCGGAACTGTAGAAGCCCATCTCCAGAACGGCACCAGAACGGCAGACTTCGGATCACAGAGTCCGATCCAGGCAGTGCGCGCAGCGCCAGTTAGGTATTACTCACCTAAGCGCATGCACATGTAGGTAGGTAGGTAGGTAGGTAGGTAGGTAGGTAGGTAGGTAGGTAGGTAGGTAGGTAGGTAGGTAGGTAGGTATTGATGCATGTGTGTATGATTAGCAGGTATCCGCGTACTCGTTGATGTAGTTGTCTGTACATGATTATTACAATATGCTGTTTGTCTTGCTGTATTCCCGAAATGTCAATGGCTTGAGTCTGAGTAATCATGGCCTAGCTGTCTCTTTCCCCACCAGCACACCACGTCCAAGACAGTTCAGCTCCGATGAAAGGAAGATCTTTTGTCCGAAGGCGGTCTTCAGAGGCGAGTCAAGACCACGGTGCCATCCTGAAGCGAAGGTCAGCCCATGCAGGCATTGCTATCGGCTGCTATCGGTCTTCCCAGAGATAAGCCATAAGCCCCTACTCGAGTGTCGGAGCTCCTGGCCGGCGGTGACCAGGTGCCGCTCCGAGAGGAGCGTGGCGCAGCTCAGCACTTTGGCCCCGAGGACCGATGCGGAGACCTGAGCAATTCAACGCAAGGAACAAGGCCAAGGCGCTGCAGTGCCTGCAGCCTCCTCCTTTTCAAGGGCTCGTCTGGGTGCAGCACTCCTCGACCAGAACCATGCAGCGGAATGGTGTCCAACAGCTCGAGATCTGCCAAGGTCGTGGCCACAGCTTTGGCGTTGGCTTTGGCCGGGCTCCGGGCTCTTCAAGCTCCAGAGCTTGAGCTCAGCTGAGCTTAGAGATGCCAGCTGCCCCGTCCTTGCCGGCGTCCGGACCATATGTCTTTCGCAGCTACGTGGCGCTTTGAGAGCATGGCGTTTGGAGAACAAAGCAGTGCTGCACGGAATCGCCATGAGCCTTTTCCAGGCATCAGGCAACGATCAGGGCACTAGAAGAGGGTCAACATTCTACCGGAGAGTCCCATCTCGAACTGTCATACGTGTCTACACAGACTAGAGTTGACTACAGGGGCTGTTGCCAGGATGACCGCCTCGAAACGATGGGAAATGCGCCGCACGCGAAGATCAAAGACGCGGAGTTCCCCGGCCTTCAGGAAGGTATCATTCGATGCGGGTTGCCAACCAGCATGTTCTTCTATACCTACGAAGCCTCGAACCTGCATCTGTCCAGCCTTTGTCCCGCAGAAGATGCGCTGTTGCGATGCAGCCTTAGCTGACGAAGACGCGGTGCAGCTATCGGCTGCTCCGGTGAACTGAGAACCCAACCCAGGCAAGAGCAGAGTACTCAGCGGGCATCGAAGCGCTCGATGCCTCAAGCAAATCGCTTTGCAGGACCTCATTTTGCGAAGAGCAAGCTCCCGACGTCTGCTCCGTCGTGCGCAACCAGAGAGGATGTACTTGGTGCAATGGTGTCCCAAACCTCAGCAGGACAGTCAAAAGATCAAGATGACCCCAAGCAGCGGGGACAAAGCTGAGGACATGGAGCGCGGCAGTACGAATAGTACGAGTAGTGCCTAGTAGGACTAGTGGCACTGGACCTGCTTGCCGGCAGAGCTACTAGTGCTGCTGGTGCTGCCAGGCAACAACAACAACTACTGCTGCTGCTACTACTACTACTACTACTGCTGCTGCTGCTACTACTACTACTACTACTACTACTACTACTCCTACTCCTACTCCTGCTGCTACTCCTACTCCTACTCCTACTCCTACTCCTACTCCTACTACTACTACTACTACTGCTGCCGCAAGACAAAAGTTCGCCACACGGGCTGTTACTCAACATAACTCTGCAGACAAAATCCCAAAGGCT